GCACTTCTTCTAACCCAGCGAAAATCTGGAATATCCCAGTTCTTCGAGAGGACTCAAGATTCGAAAGGCTTGAGATTTGTTTGCAGTGCCGAGAAGGCGAGGGATAAGTGTGCATTCGAGGATTTCCGAGAAAACGTCGAGACCGTGCGACGGCGCAAGAGAGAACAGAGAGCGCGCAGTGAAACTAGATCAAATACATGATGGCTTTGCATCAAGAGCGCCAAGATTTGACAGATGAGCAGAAAAAATGTGGATGTTGATAGAGAAGAAAAGAATGTATTGAGAAAAATGAAAAGAAAAGAGAAGTGAACTGAAAACTTGCCTTCTCCTTGGACAGTTGCTCGAAAATTGGTAGCCACTCTTCAAACGTGATACGCTTCTCACCCTTGCGCTTATACTCTTGTCCGGAGGCCTAAAATCATAGTTAGCTCAAAGTTGCAAAGAAAAATCAAAAATATTTGTATTTGCTACACCAAAGTAGGTCAAAATAGGATTTTTAACTCATATACCTTGGTAACCATAGCATTGGTCGGCTTCAGCCCGGCAGCTCGGACAACGTCTCCGATCTGGGTACCATCGATCTTTCCATCGAGTTCTTCGTCGTAGAGGTTGAAGATCTCCTTCAGTTGGTCTGAATCGTCCCAATTATCCAAATTATACAATTCTCGGGCAGTACGGTAGCAGAATAGTTAGAAAACGAACCTTGAGACGGCATGTTGTAGGGTGTTTCGAAGGTGCTACGACGACGCGACTAGAGTCCCAATCCGCTAGCGGCAGTGTACAGCGAGAGACTTCTTCGCTGCCGCTACGCCCCAGAGCGTCTATTTTTATTCGAGAGGAGGGGCGAGTCTGGATGTAATATGGATCAGACAGGCTGCGAATCCCAGATGCGCAGATCGAGCGATTGCTGAGAGTTTGTTCAACAGCGGAGGTAGGAGAACACGCCGAACAGGGGGCGGATACGGTAGAACTAAGCGCAACGAGGGGGAGGTGGAGGATATTTGCCGTACCCTCGAATCGAGTACCGATGTAACATCTGCGCATGGCGAGGGTCTGATCTGTTCATGCATACCAGCTCAGACCAGCTCAGGCTGCCGGTGCACTTCCAGAGCAAACCATATGGAATTGATTATATCCAGAACTGATGGCTTTCAAATTCTTCTTATAACCCCAGAAAAATCGACAGAGTCCTTTTCTAGCTTTTTTAAACTGAACATTTTTTGGACCTATAAGCTTAACAAATATTCAAGCAATCACTGAAGGTTGCAGGCACGATCAGAGTGAATCAGCTTGGTATACGATCACATTTTGTTGAGATGGTCTTTTGATCAAAATGTCGTTTTTGCGTCATAGCGTCTGCAGTAACTATTCTTGCAACCAAATTTGTAGAAGGTCCTATTCAATTGTTCTTAAGTCTTTTTGGCGCCAATCTACAGAAAATAGAGTCGTTACGACAATTTACAAATTACTTTTCCAGATTTTTAGTGGGTAGGATTAAAGAAAGTTTAAGTGATGTTAGGTTGGGAAGACAATCTTGTTTTGAAATGCAAATAAGATTTGTTACAAGAGTTATAACAGACTCAACAAAATCACTAACAGTTAATACCATCTCTTGTCTAAAGAGTAAGCTTTTTCTGCATAGTTGCAACTGATGGTAATTAATTGTGAAAGAACAATCGATCATATTTGCTTTATTCGCAAGCAAGGGGATCTGTGATTAAAAAGTGGTAGGTGGACTTCATGGAGCTAGCAAACAGCTGGCTTTTGCCATCAAAGCTCATTACAGTTCTATCTTAATCAAAAAATAAGATTATTATACTTAGG